ACCTGGGTTTTGATCAGTATCAGAGACTCAGCGCAGGTCAGTTGTGAAGGGTAGCAAAACACGAAAGGTAACGTGTTCTGAAATTATTAAAAATGCAAACCTTTATCAGTCACCCTTCTACATGAAGGTCAAGGATAGAGACAGCAGAAACGTGGATAGAAGCACAAATCACTAAAGGACAGAAAAGAATTAACTAATATTTTAATAGAAGAGAAACGCCTTGTACAAATTTCGTTTATTTCTCACAGGAATTCTGAATATTCTGCTGTGCTGAGACTTCACAAAGACATCTGATATAATCACTGGTGACTGAGTAATGAAACAATTATTTGTCCTTGCTATGTAAGTCAGAAAACAAAATCCCGTAAAAGACAGAGATATGCTTCAATTGAAAGGAGTTCAAGAAAGGTGTTTAATCAAACTCTCAAGCAGGCTTTCCACAAATTAATATTTTGCTGGACTGATGGAGACTGTGGTTAATTTCACACAACATTACCTAAACCTGGGGAGGATTCTGTATGTCTTCAGCTAGACAGAACTCATGAATATGGAAACTGTTAGCAAAACAGTAAAAAGCCTCTTCTGCCCAAATAGTCTGGATCCTTTCAAAGACCAAAAAAGAAACAACTTTACCTGCTAATTTCAGACATCACTAACTTTGCATATTAACTTGGGAGTGTTTTAAAATGCGTTTTCAAAACTACTGCAAAACTGACAGTCCCATGGTAAAGCAGGTCCTGTTACCCAAGATCAGAGGCACTAAGCTAGGCAGGTCTAGAATTCCAGTGTCCTGACTCTTCTATTACGTGAGCCCCCCTGAGAGCACTAAACAGCTTATACAGCAACAGCGCCTGGACCCTCCCTCTCTTCTGACGAAGAGAACATAATAGGAAATTAAGCTGTTTCTTCTGTTATTGTGTCTCCATCTCTAGGTATTTTACATAACTGCTAGTTCTTGATTTCTCCACTTTTGTTATCATCTATCGATGTCCTGCTTTGATGAGCTTCTCTTGAATACCACCTCCCCCCCCACCGCACCTCACTTCTCCCCAACCTTCCAATATAATTATGCCATACACTGTGGTAAGTCAATAATCATTATGATTATTATGTAAATACTATTTACAGTTGAGCCATGTAATGTACTACAACTTCCTTTTCTTGGCAATTTTTAAAATGTTTCTACTGGAATTAGTAATTTTCCTTTTTGGTGTACTCACCTGAGTCTATATCTCTACTCATTAATCCTAAATGCTCTGCCTAAAGTACAAATCTTCACTAAAGACATTGACACACATCATGCAATCTTTCATTTAAAAATCTTTGTCATGGGCCGGCCCGGTGGCGCACTGCTACAGTGCGCCGCTTGGAACCGCGGTGGCGCTCCCGCCGAGGGTTCGGATCCCACATACAGACCGGGTCCCGCTCACTGGCTGAGTGAGGTGCGGGAGCAACACCAAGGGTTGCAATCCCGTTGCCGGTCCCGGTACGGGCGCGACACTGAGGGTTGCGATCCCGTTGCCGGACACGAAAAAGGACAGAAAGGGAAAAAAAAAAAAAAAAAAATCTTTGTCATGGAGACATCACTCCTGTCGCTCTTGGTCCGGTCCCAAGTTGGAACAGTTTACTCTCTTATTTTGGTGGAATACATTCACTAAGTAGCTTCCTGAGAGAAGGACTGAGGGATGGATATTTTCTAAGCTTTTGAATATCTGCATGTGTCATTACTTAATTGCACTTGACTGCCAGTAAGACAGGCAGAGAGCTGTGGGAGCAAATCATTTTCCTCAGTCTAAGTTTCCAGTGTTGCTCTCAAGAAGTCTGGAGCACTTCTGGTCTCCTGTCATTGCATGTAAGCTGTTTTCCCCCCTCCAGAAGTTTCTAGGTCTTCTCCTTACCTCTGTTGTTTCTAATTTCACAATGATGTGGCTTGGACTGGTCTTTTAAAATCATTTGGCTGGGCACGCAGTAGGCCTTTTCAATCTCAATTCTCAGATCCTTCAATCGGGGAATTTTCCTTGTGTTATTTCTTTGATAATTTCCTCTATTCCATCTTGTCTGTTCTCTTTTTAGGACCTCTATTTAGTCAGATGTTGGGTCTCCTGAGTTCAGCCCTTAATTTTCTTACATTTTTTTCTCTGATTTTCCCTTTGTCTTTCTGTTCTATATTCCAGGAGATTTTTCTCAACTAATCAACTTTTCCTTTGAATTTGCGGGGGGGGGGGGGGTCTTTTTTTTTTTTTAACTTATAGAATTCTTTCTTGTTTTCTGGTTGTTACTTTATAGCAACAGGAAATTAACTCATCTCTCTGAGAAGACAATTCTTTTTCTTAAAGTTTTCTTGTACTTTTTTGCATTGTCTGTTTTCTTTACTTTTATCCCCCTGTTCTTTGTCTAGGTCTGCCTTTTAAGTTAAAGTCTTGGTTCAAATGCCTGTTTTGATTTTGTCTCCTTATTTCGGATGAGGCACTAAACATCGGACTAGAAGTTCTGTGTCATGGCAGGGTTTGTAAATACTTGAGGTTCACTGTGACAGTTTATTGGGGGTCCAAAGACTATAACTCCAAGTTTTCCCCTTGTTCTCTTGGGTATTCCATCATTCAATATATATATATATATATATATATATAGTGTGTGGAATAGTTTATTATAATTGCTATTCATTAAACAACCATCTCTTGGGCTATGTCCTGGTGACCAATGATTATCTATGAAGAGAGAGTTTGCTTTCCAAAAATACAATCAGTTATAAGTGAGTTAGTACACGTGGTGGTAAAGAGCATTGACTTCAGAGCTAGACTCCTTGGGTTTTAATCTCAGGTTTTCTACTGTGTGACCTCAGGAAGTTATACAACCCGTCTATTCTTCAGGTTCTCAATTTAAAACACAGATAACTACAGTACCTACCTCAAAGGGTTGTTATGAGGACCAAATAAATCAATTATGCAAAGAGCTTAGAAGAGTACCTGGAATGTAGTAAGTTCCACAGGAATATTAGCTATTACTATTTTTTGAATGAGTTGCAGGGTTATTTCTCAGGTAGGTTAAATAGTTTTCAGGCAGTTTGACTGCATTCACTGGGAAGGGAAGTGACACTGACGATGTACTACATGCGGCAGATACTATGCTAGGTTTTCCATGTCATTCTGTTTATTTTAAGCCTCAGAGTCTTACAAGGTAGGCATTATTTCTACTTCACAGATAAGAAAAATGAGGCTTACAGAAGAATGTAACTTGCCGAAGCCTCCACAGCGAGGATGAAGTGAAGCTGGGTCTTAAACCCAGACTTGTCTGACTCTAAGTGCAGGCTTTCCCCATCTACCACACCTCCCATCTGTGAACAAGCCATCCAGCTGTAATCTGCCAACTCCAAATGGCGCCCTTAGGATCCAAGCAGCCCTCCAAGGGCCTCTGCACTCCTTCTTTTCCTAGTGTGTACAGTGAATTAAATTAAATTTTAATAAAGTCATACAATAACATTTCTTGATAAATATCCTCTAATTTATCCCAGAATTTCCCCTTCAAACACTTCTGATGAAATGTCACTCAAAGGCTCAACTCAACATTTCTGATGAAATGTCACTCAAAGGCTCAACTGAGCTCAACTCCCAGGAAACAAGATTAGTTAAACCATGGTATAGGTTTTAAGTTTAAAGGGCTTCTCTATCAGTGATAACTCCACATAAATGGACACCTGGCAAGGACAATAGGAAGCCCGAGGTAGGATAAGACTGTGAAGAAACACTAAAACCAAAAGGAAAGTAACTGTGTAAATATCCAATTTCTCAGAGCCTTACAAACAGTACTTTCTGAAGGAAGCAGAAGAAACTACTCACAATTTCTCCAGAAGGCAGGTGTATAGTCTGTGGTGCCTGCTTGTTCAAAAATTTGTTTAACAAGCGAATGTTGGCAAATGTCCCCCGTGTCATGATGGCGTCATTACCTCGGCGGGAGCCATAGGAGTTGAATTCTCGTGGAGTCAGGCTAATAATGCAAGCAGGAGAGGAGCTGCCTTAGCGAAGCGAGCAAAGATTAAACTCTGCTTACACCAAGAAAAGAATAAAACATAAACCCATAAACCCAGCTATTTCTCCATGTCTACTAAGCTTGTTCTCCAAGGCAGAAAAGCTGTTCCCATAGCTTCAACTGAGGGTAGGGTGAGAGGTGAGAGGTGAGATGAAGAAAGTGGAAACCAGTGATCTCCTGGGGTCAACTTAGGGTCTTTCAAATCTGGGTAGAAAAATCAAGAGGAACTTTTTAAGAAAGAGTATTTACTTTTCTTACTCAGTGGAGTAGCCTTCATACAAGCTAAAAAAGCTTGATTAAAAATAAGTAAGAAAATAGAAGCAAAGAGAATAACAAGTGTAGGCAAATCAGATGGAGCCAAGACTCAGGGGAAATATAAAATATGTTCTATAAACTAACCAGAAGTAGGTTCAAATTTGTCCCTGAGTTATCAGCAACTCAATGCAAAGTGAAGAAACACAACGGACAGTGTAACCAGCTCTCATAAGACGGAAGTCAATGCAGTGCCAAAGAGGCAGAACAGCTATTTCTGGTCCCAACCACAGAAAAATCTCGGCTGTGGGCCCCAATGAAAGGAAACTTTGTGATGTCAGGAAGAACATCTTACAATTAACACAGTGACCAGTTCACTGGACTGTTTCTTAAAATACCAGGGGTGGATGTGAGTGTTAATAAGATGTAATGGTTAGATCTAATTTGAGGATTGAGAGTTTATGAATGGCCTTCAGGAGCAGGTAACCATGTCGAGGAACCCCTGAAATCCAAATGCTGTGGGTCTGTGCATTTTTCTGGGAACACATTGTATTTGCTTTCATTTAATTCCCTAAAGAGTTCATGTCTCAAAAGAGGTGAAGAATCACCATCAAAAAAAGGTGTTTGGATTCTGTTCCTCACATTTGCTTTGGGTCCATCCATGAAGAAGCTGATTCAGGAGGTGGGGATAGAAACCAGGAATTTTTATCTTTCCATATGACTCTCATGGAAAATCAGATTTGGGAACCACTGACCTTGATTAATATTGATCTATTACATAACAGTAGATAATACTGGTATAATATCTGTTAATATCAGTATATTACTGAAGGATTGATGAATAGATGCAGGTCTCTATAAACATTATGCCTCTCAACCAGGATATGGCAATGCCCTTCAGGTTCTATCAGGCTTGCCACAGGTTAAAAGCAGAACCTTATAATTTAACAACCAGACAGGCTGGGGGCAGGGATGACAATTGGGCCTAATGCTTACATTTGCTCAAAAAGGTCACTCTCCCCTTCCCCCTGCTAGGATTCCTGGGCTGATGGATTCTCCCACAGAAGCTGCTAAGAAAAAGCAATTGGTTTTTGAGCCCCAGAGTTCGGTGAAAAACCAGAGTCGACTCTAAAGAGACCAAGTAAAAAGAGAAATACTGGCCTCATTTGCTCCATTTATTCCATTTTTGCCTTTAGTCTTTCCTATCTCACTCATACTTACCCTCTGTTAGTTAAATAGCGAGCAGCAGGGCTGTTTCTTGCAATATTTCCAGCTGGAGAGATGTGGTCCGTTGTTACTGAATCTCCCAAATTTAATAGCACATAGGCATCCACTATAGATTTAGGGGGCTGAAGATTCAAAGTCTAGCAAAGAATACAAGAAGTCAACGTTTGCTAGGTTATCTCCAACAAGTCCCCAGGTGAGTCTCCACAGTAGTGGTCCATGGACCTGAACCAGACGACAATTCTACATCAGTGCACAGAAAATCCTAGTTTTCAGGTTTTTATCAGGGATGCTGAGAAAAGTAAGTTAAATTTACTCAAAACTCATATCTCAACCTTGAGAAGGCAAAATACTGGCACTATTCCTTCAAAAGCAACAGGAATGCAGCTGCAAATGACACTCTGTCTCTTCACATCACAGAACTCCTCAGATGCTAAGGACAAGTGGAATCCTGACTTCTACGCCCATCCCTTCCCAGGAGGACCCACCAGGGGAGCAAGGACTTCCTGATCATCAGTTTCAGGAAAACATGTTCCACATTTTTATGGGTATAAAATTTCAATATGGTAAACCCTGGAGATGTTCTCCTGGAACAGTCCCTCAGACTTTACTGAGTCTATGTCCAGGTGGTGCCTAATTACCAGGGTGCCCCTGCCCTGCCATAGGGCCCACTACAGCCAAATGTATAGCCTCCAAGACTCTCCCCAGCACCATCTGCTTGGGTTTGCAAAATTTTAATGAAATAGGTAGTTAAAGCAAGGGTATGGGGTAATAAAGTAGATTTTATAAGGAAAGAAACCTTTTGCAGAACCTGTTTTGTTAAGAAATAAAAAGTCATACCAGGTTTTCAAAGAATGGTGGTGATTTAATGTATGTAGATTTGGGATTCCACAAATACAGCTTGTCTGATGGGGCTGATAAGGCATTCCAGCTTTCATTCACAGTCTTAAAAAAAAAGGAAAAGAAAGGCAGATCAAATCACATTCCATTCTAGGGAAAATTTAATATGCAAATGCAAAAAATACATTCAAGCTAAGAAGCATAATAAAAATCATTTTTATTCTAAACAGTGTCACAAAAGAGTTTCTTTATACTAAGATTATGT